TTTCGGGGGGGGGGGAGAGGGTTCAAGTGAGAAGAATGGGTGAAAAAAAGATGAGGGATTCAGGTAAAAAAAGGACACTGCCAGAGGAAAGAACGATAACTTGAGATATAACTTTGTGGACAACATAATTAGTCTGTTAATCTTTTTTTAATCATTCATCATGCATCTGAGGTCTTGAATGCTGAAACTCAGAGGTCTTAAGAAATAGAAGAGAAGTGTATATTAGAGAACGTAGTGGTACATTGGGCAAAGGAACTTACGTTTTCCAGATTTTGAAAGATAATTACCTGCTGATGTTCTCAAATCGCAAGTTCAGATTAAAGTACTAATGGGCTGAACCGTCATCGTGTGGTTAGGTAAACGACAAAGGTATGTTAAGGCTATCCTTTCTTTCTTTTTTTGGCATGATCTATACGACACGAACGAAACGAGCAAATAAAGAATTTCCATAAATGACTCTATTCATAGAAATACTAGAGATGCTTATGTTCTTGATTTTCCATGTGTCATATTATTGTATCATCTGTTCATGGGTCTCAGAAAAATATGTAAGTTGAAAAAATTTACTTCATGATATTATTCAAAGGCATAATGGTCGTATGACGTACCGAGAGATTTTATTAACGCATTTCATATGCGTTTCATGCATTTATACATGCACATTGACGGCGTTATATATGCACCACCACCTGATCAACTGGTATACGTTGATGATTTTGCCCACAATGGCCGAGATGATATGATGGGATGCCCTCAGAGGCTTGATGATGTTATGAACACATGTACCTATGCACATCATGACATTCATACGCATATGCATGACACTATAATTATTTCATGAACTACAGAGTTATCCAGACTTACAGATTGAGTCATTTACTCTATATTTCTCCCATGTCTGTTATGTACTTATTTATGTGCCTTACATACTGGGTACATTATTCATATTGAAGTCCCTTTTGCTTGGGGACGCTGCGTTTCATGCCCGCAGGTCCTGATAGACAGGTGAGAGCCCTCCAAGTAGGCTATCAGCTCAGTGGAAGATGTTGGTGCGCTCCATTTACTTCGGAGTTGCTTGTTTGGTTAGTATGACTTAGATGTGTATTGTTTGGTATGGCGGGACTCTGTCCCGACCTTTATAAAAATTATGTATTCTTAGAGGCTTGTAGACAAATGTCATGTACGTAAAAGCTTGTATGGCCTTGTCGGCCTATGTTCAGGATACGAGTGGTTATTTTGGTCTTGTAGGCCCGTATGTCTTATGTATAAGTTAGTATCACATGTTGTATTCTACTTATCCACGGCAACCTTCATGCTCAGTTATCTATGAAAGTATGTCATGAAAAGATACGTTACGATGGTACTCGATTGAGTATGGTAGCGGATGCCCGTCGCGACCCATCGATTTGGGTCGTGACACACCCCTTTCCAGCCAGACTGGAAAACTTTGTCGCAGAATGTTTGTCCATCATCCATCACTTTCTTCATAGCTTCTTTACTAGGTTTGACACCACATTTCAATCCAGTCATTGTAGAAAACTCCTTCAATCCAAATTAAACAGGCTTGTCTCCAACTAAAAACCACAACTCGCACTTCTTCGAGCAATAAATTCGGTGAATCAGCAGGAAATAGACTAGCTATCCATTGAACTGTGTCCAGTGCTCTGAAAGTTTTGCAAACTAACCAAAACAACTACTATTAAACTTTTCCATCAATTTGATTGTTCTAAATTTATCCTTAAACTCATGGAATACATTGATCCTAGACTTCACAGTTATCTTGGCAGGGAAACGTCTGTGCTTTCTAAGAGAAGTCCTGAATTTGTATTTGGATGCGTCGATCGCCCTTACAAACATAGGAATTGACAGACCATCCTGGTCACTTTCAACTACTGCATGTGTTTCACTTTCCAATCCATCTTCACCATCTTCAAGTTGTTTATCATCTTCTTCTTCAGTTACTTCTTCTTCCGTCGCTACATGTTCTTCTTCTGCTAAATCTTCTCCTACGGATGGCAAACGGTGCGGGGCGATGCGGTTGTGGGGCACACCCGCGCACACCCGCGAACACTCCAACCCGCCCGTTCCGCCCCGCAAAACAAAATTTACTGTTTTTAACCGCCCCGCCCCGCATATTTTCTTTTAATTTTTTTAATTTGGTATCTTTTAATAAACCAGACGCAGATACTAAAAACTACACAATCACATGCATTTTGACAATGTCAGTCTACCAATAAAATGGAAAATAAATAAATAAGAGAACCACGAAATTGAATGGCCATAAAAAAATTTTCAACTAAAATTGATACATTTTGGATAATTACATTAACAATAAAACTGGTTGTGATAAAAAATTTAACAGTGTAAAATCTCTTAAAAGATTTACACTACTTCATTGTTTGTGACTTTCAAATATACTGAAAATGCTAAGTCTTCTTCTTTTCTTTTTTCTTTTAATTCAAATGTCCTCTAAAAATAAAATATTTTTTCTTCTTGAACAATGAAATAAAAACTGAATAAAAATTATACAAAAAGAACCCGCGTGGAGGATCTGGTATTTAGGTTTTAGTTCAAGATTTAGGATCTGGTAGCGTTTTAGACTTTTAGTTCAAGATTTAGGTTTTAAAAAACCCGCGACCCGCGACCCGCCCCACGTTAATTTTTTTTAAAAGAATTAGGCCCCGCCCCGCCCCGCAAACATTGTAACCTGCCCTGCCCCGCCCCGTGAATGCTGAAAACCGCCCCGCCTCGTCTCATTTGTCATCCCTACTTCTTCCTTTTCTTCTTCAACATCTTTATCAACCAGCATCATCACCACTTTCATCATCCTCCACACCTAAAGATTCATCATCACTGTCCTTTTCTTCTTCAACAATTGCTTTTTTAGAAACCTGTTCTTCCTTTTGACTTTGTGCTGCATTTATGTCCAAGTCTTCTTCCTCCTCCTCATCAACACCCTCTAATGCTAACCTCCTTGAAATAGATTTTTTACTAACATGTATGTGTTTGTATACTAATCTAGACTTTGATCTTGTTCTTTTTTTACTGATAGACTTTGATGGCTCTTTGTTCTTTTTACTCCTATCACGCTTAGAAATCTCAACATTCTTTTACTAGGGGAAGCTTTAGAAGTATCTACATTTCATTTTCTAGTAGCGGTTTTTGAAGGCTCAGCGGCTGCTTTACTTGGCAATGCTTCTTTTTCTGCATTTTCTTTCATGTTTGAAGGCTTTGAAGGCTTTGTCAAATGAATATGCTTCTTAGCAACTGATTTCCTCCTCATGTTACCTACATGCAAATACGCAATGTCATATTTAATAATTTTAAACTTATGATCATAATAAGAAAAATAAGCCCCTATTCCAGCAAACATCTATGACCAAAAAACAACCGACCACACGTTTATCAATACACATTAGGTCGGCAGTTAGAACGAAATTCTAAAATACAGGTCACAGAGGTAGTCTAAGAAGCAAATATAACCACCCACGCCATATAAGATATGGGAATTCACAACCCAATCGATCTTGAAATGCACATGAACGAATCACTCTACAAAACCCGAAATAAAAAATGTAAGAAAGAAAAAAGAAATAGGATTTACCAAAATTGACGCGTTCTGAGCTTTGATACAGTGTTTGATGGGTCTATAGAGACGATTACACCCAAAATCGAAGCTTGATTCTTGTCCCTTCCCGCCGGAAACCACCTTGGTCGATGAGGTTGAGTGACAGAGAGAAGAGAAGCGGAGAGAGTAGAGAGATCAAAGAGAAATTGAGCTGAAAAATAAGAGAGAAGTAATGTTTTTCAAACTTTATATGTGACCTCCAAATTTTTAAAATGTTAAAAAGGTCTCATTCATCCTAACCAACTCATATTACCATTTTTCCACCCAAAAATAAAAATTAAAAAAGAAAATGAAAGGTCACTTGACCAATTCAAGTGTTGAGGAGATCTCTTACCAAATATATTATCTTAGCGGGTGCTATGCCACTCCTTCTTAAAAGGGGTGAATATACGTAATTATCCACATAAATAAATTTTGTATAGCACCAGATGCCTTCTTTCCGGTCACGAATAAGATGGAGAAGCATGTGCACTAACAAGGTGCTATGTCGTTTCGAATTTGGAATCTTATTCCCGACAAATTAGTAAACCCTCATTGAAGTGTTAAAGAAGGGCCCCGGAAGGGCCAATTATAGATAGACAACGAGGGCTAAAAGTAAATATCTTATAATTCCCCGAGATTGGAATTAATAAAAAACTTTAGGTAAGTAAAATTTATTTCCAATCACATCATTTTTCTTTTATTAAGTACGAATCATATCTCATGTACAACTCATTATATGGTGACTTTTAGTGTGTGTTTTCTTTTACTTAATCAGTTGTTTTTTTCCTGACGAAAATTCTCTGCATTATAAACTTTTTCAAAATTTACAATGAAATAGACTTAATTCATTTTTAAATCATATGATGTTATCAACCTTTAAATTTTCCAACCGATATGAAAGACAATTGAACTGTTTGATTATTTTGTGTTTAATTTGTTGGTATCTTTACTTGAGCACTCAATATATGCACGAGAAATTTCTTGGAAAAAATTGGATGATTATGGAGAATAAAAGATTTAGCTTGAGGCGTGTCAAAAACACTGTCCTTAAGGATATTTCACCCGCACCGAGATGAATAATATTAGGCGTATCCCCCAGGATTCAACAAGCTCTTCTAGTATAACTAGGAGCAGAAACAACAAAGATTTATAAGAAGAAAACCCAGCACCAAAAAAAGAAGAAGAAAAGTTTTTACTATTTTCACACTACTTCAAAGTGACCACACAAAGGACTTATATAGTCCAAAAACAGAAAATATCCATCTGATAATGAATCTAAGCGATAAAGGCTCATCCAAATTTTTAACACTGCTTTTCTGTTAAAAAACATAAAGACAATCATTAAAAACATTTAACTCCATTAAGGAGTCAAATTCCAACTGATGTAACGTAAAAAAACGTCTAAGAAATGATTTCTAAATCAATGTTAAGAAACAGTCAACTAAGATCATATTTGATCAGATTGAAAGATGTAGAAAAATAATTTATTTTGATAGCCATTTAATGTTAATAAATATTATATTCAAAGTTATTCTAATTTACTTTTACACACATTAAAATATATTCAAATTGATTGGTGATATAAAGACCCATTAAAAGAGTGAACCTAGACATTAATTTAAAAATTCTTTTTGAGATATTAAAAATATTTTTTTTAACAATCCCCCACATAGCTCAAAAAGAATATTATAATAAAAAATAAAAAATTTTGCTGGGTTTTCACAAATGAGCATAATGCATTGAATCTGGTGTCTCTTGGACTATGAACCAGACCTAGATTAAATAAGATTAAACTTACAGAACAATTGGTGAAGTTTAGAACTTCTATGAACCAAGAATTCTTTTGTAAGTTTAGTGTCTTACCTATCACATTATATCCGCACACACTTTGTTGTTTGTCGCGGTTTTGCGCTAATAGGCCATGCGCGCGCCTGGTTTTCATGAGTGCTCAAATTTCATAGGAGCGGCCCCACTCCACACTCATATAGGTCCATCCATCAAGTGTATTCTGCAGCACAATACACCACCTACAATAGGCTATGGATTATTGGATTAAGAGTTTAATAACTCAACCTCACATTCCTTGCAGTCTTGCACTATACACGCACACACCATAGGAAGAGACATAATTTAATAGTGCACATTTGATAAACTAATGACTTGTTATTACCCATATGAACCTACTTCATGGGATCTCCAATCACATAGGTTGGGTTACCATCATAGTTGATATAACTCAAATTGGCAAAAGTCCCATTCCCCTCGATGTTTCAGATATTAATTTTCTTCCCAAAGGTTTAGTCAGAGGATCGGCCAAATTCACTTCTGACTTCACATAATCTATGAAAATAATTCCATCTCTCAGCAGCTGCTTTATCACATTATGTCTCAATCGGATATGTCTGACTTTTTCCATTAAAGGATTTATTTTTGGCAATGGCTATTGCAGCTTGGCAATCACAATGCATCGACACAGAAGGTGTCGGTTTTATTCCTAGTGGAATACTTGCCAAAAGGTTCTTTAACCACTCGGCCTCATTGCCAGCTAATTCCAATGCCACAAACTCAGATTCCATGGTAGATCTAGCTATTATTGTTTGTTTAGCTGATTTCCATGCTATAGCACCCCCGCCGAGGGTGAACACATAACCACTAGTGGACTTTGTCTCATCTGAATCAGAGATCCAGTTAGCATCACTGTANGGACATCTGAAATGAAGAAACGGTAAATACTTTGAGAATTCAATGCTAAGAAATCAATAAAAAAAACTTTAAGAATTCAATACCAAGATCTGAAATGAAAGAAACCTCCGAGCCATAAAGGCTTTTCAATTACCATACGTTAAAAAACAAAAACAATGTATAAGAAAGGATCAAAACACTAACAAAAGCCATTAAGGCTATCAGATTCTTAAGAAACAGTAAAATCCATTAAGGATGCTAATCCGTTAAAACTTTTAAGTCCATAACATTGAATCTTGAAAGCTATCAAATACCAAGCATTAAAAACATATTGCCTTCAAACATCAATTTTAAATTTTTTTAAATTTGTAATTGAAAATTATGCCATCAGTTACATTTTGTATTAAGACCAATTAATATTATTTTAAGAGAATAAACTTAGACATAATTTAAACAATTCTTTTTGAGATATGAAACTATTTTTGTCTCAACAATCCCCCACATAGCTCAAAAAGAATATTATAATAAAATAAAATAAAACTAAGTTTGCTAGGTTTTCACAAATGAGCATAATGCGTCGCATCTGGTGTCTCTTGGACTATGAACCAGACCTATTAAAATAAGATTAAACTTACAGAACAAATGGTGAAGTTTAAAACTTCTATGAACCGAGAATTCTTTTGTAAGTTTAGTGTCTTATCTATCACATTATACCCGCACACACTTTGTTGTTTGTCGCAGTTCTGCGCTAACAGGCCATGCGCGCGCCTGGTTTTCATGAGTGCTCTAGAAATTTTTTGCCATAAATTTCATAAGAGCGGCCTGTACCACACTCATGTAGGTCCATCTATCAAGTATATTCTACAGTGCAATACACCACCTAAAATTAGGCTATGAATTAGATTAAGAGTTTAGTAACTCATCCTCTCATTCCTTGCAGTCTTGCACTATATATATACACACACCATAGGAAGGGATATAATTTAGTAGTGCACATTTGATCAACTAATGACTTGTTATTACCCATATGAATCTACTTCATGGGATCTCCAATCACATAGGTTGGGTTACCATCATAGTTGATATAACTCAAATTGGCAAATGTCCCATTCCCCTCGATGTTTCAGATATTAATTTTCTTCCCAAAGGTTTAGTCAGAGGATCGGCCAAATTCACTTCTGACTTCACATAATCTATGAAAGTAATTCCATCTCTCAGCACGAATATGTCTACACTTTCCATTAAAGGATCTATTTTTAGCAATGGCTATTGCAGCTTGGCAATCACAATGCATCGACACAGAAGGTGTCGGTTTTATTCCTAGTGGAATACTTGCCAAAAGGTTCATTAACCACACGGCCTCATTTCCAGCCAACTCCAATACCACAAACTCGGATTCCATGGTAGATCTAGCTATTATTGTTTGTTTAGCTGATTTCCATGCCACAGCACCCCCACCGAGGGTGAACACATAACCACTAGTGAATTTTGTCTCATCTGAATCAGAGATCCAGTTAGCATCACTGTATCCTTCTAATACAGTGGAAAATCCACTATATTTAATACCATAGTTCATGATACCTCTCAAATACTACATTACTCTTACTAATGCATTCCAATGATCATGACTCGGGTTTTGAGTATATCTACTCAATCGACACACAGCATATGCAATATCAGGTCTAGTAAAATTCATCAAATGCATTAGGCTACCAATAATTTGAGCATATTTATTTTGATCTACAGCATCTCCCTTATTCTTTTTTAATTGACTACTAGCATCATAAGGAGTGCTTACAGGTACCACATCAAAATTATCAAATTTTTTAAGAATTCTTTCAACATAATGTTCTTGAGTCAACATCAAACTATTGCCATCTCTTATAATTTTCATGCCTAAAATAACACTAGCTTCTCCCATGTCTTTCATCTCAAAATTAGAAGACAAGAAAAATTTGGTTTTATGTACCAAATCAAGGCTAGAACTAAAAATAAGCATGTCATCCACATAAAGGCAAATAATAACACACGTACCATCTACACATTTTGTATAAACACATTTATCTACTTCAATTGACGAAAAACCATCATTAATCAACACTTGATCAAATTTTTCATGCCACTGTTTAGGCGCTTGTTTTAGACCATATAAAGATTTTAACAATTTACATACTTTATTTTCTTGTCCAGACACTATACAACCCTCAGGTTGCTCCATGTAAATTTCCTCTTCCAAATCACCATTTAAAAATGCAGTTTTAACATCCATTTGGTGAATAAAAAGTTTATAAATAGAAGCCAAGGCAAGTAAAACACGAATCGAGGAAATTCTAGTTACAGGAGCATAAGTGTCAAAATAATCAATATTTTGTTTTTGGGTAAAACCTTTTGCAATAAGTCTAGCTTTGTATTTATCAATGGAACCATCCGGATTGAGTTTCTTCTTAAAAATCCATTTACAACCAATGGGTTTAGCTCCCGGAGGTAAATCAACTAAAATCCAAGTTTTATTTT